CAGTCCAAGATCCTTCATACCAGCAATAAGCACTTTTCTACTGTATCTTCACCTTTACATCAAATCAAACAGCAAAATACTCTTTGGGCAGCCTGTATCTCTTTAGTAAAGATGCTTCTATAACTTTGGCAGTCAGAAATGCAAGTTAAAGGGTGGTGGTTTTTTTTGTTTTGTTTTGTTTTTTTGTTTTTGTTTTTGTTTTTTTAAGTCCAGCTGTGGCTCATTCTCAAAATGATTTAAAATATCATTTGTGTTTTGCATTTACAAAGCTAACGCAGGCCTCTTAAATGAGACCTTATATAAGACCTTTAGTCTTCTGTTTGTTTCCAGCATGTCCAGGCAAAATGATATTTTGGAAAGTTTGCTACTTTTGGTAGCAGTGGCAGCCCAAACAGCCACCTGTAATTTCTATACCACATAACGAATGAATGTGCTGAGCTCAGGGCTGAACTGCAGCTCCAAGCACCCAACAAGTGCCAGCCCTGAGAGGTTGCTGCTGACATGAGAAGTACAGCCTGCTCCTTTCATTTCCAGCTTCTACATCAGCACTTATGTGAAACTCCCTTACAAAAAAAGCACAAGCCATGCCAAATTTCAGTAAACACAACCCGATTCTGCAAGAGATTAAGCAACTCTTGACATGGTAAACAGGAGCAAGCTTTTAAGGACAAATCACATGCACTGACACTAACGTGACTCCTCAGATACAGACAAGCCACTGCAAAAGGAAGCATGTAAACTCAGTAGGTACGCATAGCATTTTTTTCCACAGAAATCATAGTTACCTGTAGAACTGAGATGTGTATTAACAGGTTAGGAATTTCTGCTTTGATTAACACAGGCTGCTTAAAAAAAAAAAAAGGAAAAAAGCAATCCAAACAATCCAAAAATCATGACAGCTTTTAGGTTTAAACCAGAACTATCTTGTGGTCAGGCCTCCTCTTGATTTTAGCTGCGGCAGCAGCACCATGAGCAACTCACCACTTCACCCAAGCTTCTCTGGCTCTGGGCCACACAGAACTGCTCTTCGGTTCTGCTCAGCTTCCCCCAGGCCCTCACTAGTAGTTACAAAGAAGGAACCTAAAGCTTGGCTGCCCACAAGGAAAAAGCGATTATGTTCTAACATTACTTTTTCCTGAAGCCACAATTCTGGAAAAATTGTAACCCCATAAGAAAGATAGGGCGCATTGCAGACCTCTGTATCTTGACACAAACCCCTGTTGCTGCCAGCAAGTGTAGCTGTCCTCACATCAGTATTCCCACCTGAGTACCAGTGCCAGCACTAGGGATAGAGCAGGAATAAGAACTAGGGCTTGCTAGGCCAGCTTGGAACACTAGCTGTACTGAAGGGGTCACAGCAGTCCATGGACAATAACCAAGTAACTTTGTGCTCAAACACAAAGCAAATTGCAAGAATGAAGTACTGACTCCAGAGAGGGTAATTAAATGTTGAAAGCCTCTATTTCCCAAACTGATGCTTTTCTAAAAGCTAGCATTTAGACATACATGAGTCTCTCCAATCACACAGTGAAGTATTTTTGTTTTCCCGCTCCACTCAGCCACTCTATCATCATCTTTCTTCTTCTACGGTCATCCTTCCTCTAGTTTCTCTGTTCCATGATGCAACATTTTCCATACATCTTCCCCTTTCACTGGATGATCCTGTCTACCTACCCATTCTTTTAAGAACAGATCTTCCTAACTTCTCATGACAAAGAAAGAGAGACTGACAGAAGCTACACAACATACAGGGAGGCTCAATCTTTCCCAAGATTGGGAGCTATTGAAAAAGCCATGCAGGCAGACAGGGCTGAGCTCTGACCACATGTCAGAAAGAGATAGTCCCCCAGGCACAGTCCCATGTCTGCAGTTTATTCTCTAAACCTTTTTTAGGTCATGAACTTTCCAGGCAAAGACTGTTTCCACCATCCTTGTTACACTCCGGTTCTGACCAGACAAGAAAAAAGAACATCACCAGTGACTTATTCCATTATAAACAGCTTTTATTAGCTGTCTTTTAAATATTAAGCCAAATAACTGAAGATCTTTCTCTCATCTTGGTCACTGTCAAATAAGAAGTGTTGCTGGATGCTCTTCTCAGTTTAAAGGAAGTAGTAAGGTATTACTGTAGTATTGTACTCAGTGATGCAGATTAGAAACACCATAGACAGTGAATGTCGGCTTTGATTATTTTTTTTTAAATTATTTTCCAGTTAAGAGGGACATATGAGAAAAAAGCATAGCAAAAAATTCACTGATTCAATTTAATTTTTTCAATCTACTGCTGCATAAACGTTTGAACTCACAATAACAATACACAAAAAAGTACACATCTGTTACAAGAGCACAGCCCTCACTTCCACACAAATCCTAAAAGCATTAATTTATGCATAACTTATACAGTTAGCACTATTCCTGCAGGACTACTCTTTCCTTGCTTAGGGATGCCTACAATGTCACGAGGTCCTGTTTTCACAGCTAATGGGGGACTATCTTCTGCTATTTCAGATGACATAGCCTCTCTAGACTAATAAGACCTATTACCAATGACTCAGGCACCAGGAATACCACATATTCATTTCCGAATCCTGAGGTTGGGATGGCATAGTATTTTAGTCAGACTCAAGTCCAGCTCATATGACAAATGTCAGATTAGATAGACTGCAGTGTCAGTCTGCTTCTTTGCTAAGGAACCTGTCACATCCCCAGAGACTCAAAGGCCTTTGGGAAATGATTTTGAATCAGAGGAATGCCACCCATAACAAAATTCTTTCTGGTTTAATGGGAAGACTCATCATCACACTGCTCAAGTCCATTGAGGGGTGCAGCTATAGCCACCCCAGGTTGTGTCACAGCAGCAGTACACAACATCTTATGAGAAACAAGCAAAGGAGCTTCCTTTTTCAAGCTATGACTGACAGAATTTGCATGGCAAAGAAAATCTGACAAAGGCATACTGCTTTTAGAACATTCCTTCCGCTTTTCCTCCTACACTGACCAAACTCCATAGGTTATTGAGTTGAAGTGTCATCAAAAAAAAAAAAAAGAGTTTGAGTAAGCACATCAGTTTGATACTGTTATAAAGAGAAAAGAAGAAAGATGTTCAGAGCATGAAATGGGTTTGTTGTGATACTTAGTTACTTCGCTACTCAACACTCCCTCCTACAGTGCACATCCCACTCCTACCATAAAGTGGTTTTAGGCTGTGAGGGACTGAAAAAAAAAAAAGGAGGAAGGAGAGGGCTCATCGGTCTGTTCTGCCCTTCTCAGAACACCTGGAATCCCTCAAAACAGCAGGGAGTGCAGAAACAACAAGGACCCAGCATCATAGCATACCTTGGTGCCAAGATTTAGCAATCTATTCTTTGAGTGCGTTGCAAACAAATCACCCAATGTTATCATTTGGGCTTAGGGCTGGGTATCTTCATTTTCACATATGACACTGCTGCTATCCTTCAGACCAGTCTGAGGAGCGGTCACAAAGTTCTTCTGTGCTCCCCATTCATCAGTGCAGTCAAGTCTTCATGCCCCAAGACATACTAAATTGTGTTTGAGCAATTAAGCCACCTATACACATTACAGGAACTGTCTCAGAGCTACCAGAATTTCTTCATATCTGCAACATTGGGTTTCTGAAATATGAGTAGACAAAAGCCTTCCAGTCTGTCCCATCAAAGGAACTTCCCCATCCTCTTCTCACACAAGAGCAGAAAAAGGCTTATGCAGGACATTCTTTGCAGAGGTGGTCACCACCATTTTTCACAAAAACAAATGCAAAACCTCAAAGCAGACATTATTCCTCCAACAAGATAAGGATCGTGGTTTAGTAGAGCATCCAGTAGGAGACCCGCATCATTAGAAGTCTAAGATGCGTGACTCCCTGGCACACGTAGGAAAGCCAAGCAAGGTTAGATATTTACTATTTGCATATTTCATTACAGGTTCTGGATGACTTGCAATTAGAGCTGAGGGCAACAGCACAGGCAAACCATGAACATCAACTGAGCAAGATTAGATCCCACTGCCTACCTGTTTAGCATGCAAAATAGCAGTATCCTCACTCACGTATCTAATTCCAAGCAATTCTTTATTGTACAAGGCCAAAATATGCCACCCAGCACCAGAAGACAAGGAGCTAGACTATACTTTTACACTACTCCAGACTCCAAAGCAATGAGAAGTATCAGTACCCTGTGGAATTGCTTTGAAAAAACTATCTCCTCATGTTAATTGTGATCAAAGTTTTTTCCCCAGCATTATATTACATACAATTACTACAACCCTCCAGCCAGCCAGTATCAGTGTATGGCAGGATGCATCATTTGGCCACTACATTTTGATTTAATGTCTCTTGCCATATATTCACATTGGTTGGGCTGAAAGGTATAGTAATAACATACCATCATTTCATCTTGTCAGAAATGCTACAAATCAGAAGAGGACAGTCTAAAACACTGTTTCTGCAGGAATCAGCTCTCCCTCAAGGAAAATGAGGAAAATGCTATTTCCCAGAAGCCAAAAGGAAGCAGCTCTTATCACGCACAAGCAAACATTCACTCTTGCAATACTCAAGTAATAGGTTACAGAGGCCACACCCTGAGTTTTTTGGTAAAAGATGCATGATACAAAGAGCTTAACAGAACAGTTTTTTTTTTTTTTTTTTTTTAAGTTCTTACTGACAACAGTAATTTGAGACAGCATTTCCTCCCAATGCCTGGAGGATTGCTCTATGGGTTTCTTCAAGCAACTCTCTTTCTCCAAAATCACACAAAACATGAAGACACAGTGTTTTTAAAAACTGAGAGCATTCTTTGAACTCCTCTTATGTATTTCCTCTACCTACAGTGCACATCACATCTATCAAGCTGGAAGAATAAACTGTGTTTTGAGACAAGGCAAATGCACCACAATCAGACTACTGACTCATCCAAATGACACATTGACTAAAGAGATAATGCACTGGCTAAAGGAAGGTCATGTAAAAAGACAGCAGCTGTTACCTGTGAGTGGGGAGGGAAAAGTATCCACAAAATTAAGAAGTTCCTCACTGCTCTCAGTGCTGTGTGGAGACAGAAAGCCCTCTGCTAGGTCACAGATAGAGGGGAGGTCCAATATGCTGCTCTCCTCTGAGTGATGACTTGGTGATGTCTCTTCTCCTTCCATGGTCCCACTGTAAACATAAAAACCTAGCTCAGTCAAATTTGTTTAGCATGAAAATCCGAGCAGAAGTCAACCCAGACAATCTTTGTTCAACTGTTCAACTCACTTTGAAACTGTTTCAGCATATTGGTACTTAAGTAGAGAGTAAGATATTAAAAAACAACTAAAAAAAAAAAAAAAAAAAACAAAACAAAACCAAACACACTACCACAGCAACACCAAAACCATAGACAATAATCCTCAGTCCTGAATTGGATGACCAGGAGCCCACAGTCAATCAGATTTTCCTAGATGGTTCTGAGAAGTACAGAATCAGGCCCCAGCACTAGAACAGTACTGAATATACTCTGCTGTGAATTTACTATGTGCACAATTTTGAAAGGAAATATGTTCTTTGGGATGTTATCTCCCTCACCAATCATGCTTCTAGATATGACAAGTTAAAAGCATTCCTTCGGCTCTGTTCATAAAGTTCATCACTCAATAGCAAAAGAAACAAATATCTCTGCAATTTTATCCTGCAGGCATGGCAAGGATTTTCTGGTGTGAGGGCAGTTGAACTATATATTCCACACACAGTACTTTGGAAAGCTGTAGCTGAAGCACACCCACATCCCTACAACCTTCTTTAGAGCTCCTTGAACCAGTTCACCAGGGCAGAAATACAGTGCTGAGTGAAGAGCAGAGCTGGTACTGCCCAGCTTCACATTCAGCATCACACAGAGTAGGAAACACTTCTGGAGAGAATGGAAGTGAAACATTCCCATCAAGCATCTCCAAACACAGCTGCACAATACCCCCAGTTTCCTTTTAATATCTCAGTCACAAGCCTTTAGCCACCAGGAGCCCACACAACCACTCTATGCTGCTTTCTCAATACACAACTACTTTACAGAACATTCTAATTCAGTTCTTAGTCTGAAAAACAAAATAAAGCAAATCAACCACAGGCAAGTGGAAGGTTATAGTAAGAGGAGATGCTGGCATATTAGCAGAACAGTCTGAGGCCAACACTGACATAGGTGGGCTGCTGCAATCCTAGGCCTATTTGTAACAGTCTGTGCTGGCCTCTTCCTCTGTGTTACCACAACAGAGCTAACAACATTCGCAGCCATGTGACTATAAGAACCAGACAGCTGTTCCTAATGGACACTAATGACTACTTTTTCTCTTTTTTTTCCTCCCGAAGTATTCCCCTCATATCAACTCTGTCAATTGTTCCAACAACTTCACAGTGCATTTTGACCACACAAGGACGTTTAAATCAAGGCTATAGTGGTTCTACTCATAGAACTGGTGGGGAGATGTGTTTGTGAAGACAAACAAGACCTCAGCTCAGCCCTGGCCCTTCAAACACGTGGAAAGGACATGCTGTTAGCCCTGTGCCATACCTAGGAACAGCACTGATATGGGAGCAGTCCTCTGGGACAGGTGCCAGATGCAAAGAGCTTGTCGCTGCTTCAGGATCCTCTTCTTCCTTCACGGTTTGTCAATCTCAGCTCGCTGGAATGAAACAAACAGGCCTGTTACATGCTTTGCATCAGCTGAGTGGGCTGACCAGACAGCGTGACCTTTCAAAACACATATGGCACCTGAAGTCAGCAGCCAGTCATCACGCACACTGCTGTTTGTCAAGGCTGGCACAGTGAAAGATTTTTTCTAGGAATCAGAAATAGCACACCTAGTAATGCCCTTGAATCTTCTGACAGTGACGAAGACCTCCTGGAAAGGATTCAGAACACACTAGAAATCAAGCCCACCCTTTCTTCACAAGCTGTTGCTGTTTACTCAAAACCCGTGAAGCAGAGGAGCGGGTCACAGCCGATAACCTTTCTTCCTGCGAGCAGTGGGAGCCACGGCTGCAAGCTTTCCCCCTCTCGCTACTAAGGAGAAATTCGGGCTGAAGCAAAACGCTGAGTGAGGGGCGATAAGGTGGAGCACGCCGGCCGGCCCGCTCCCTTACCACCCCTCAGGCCCCGCACCCCGCGAGCAGCAGGGAGGCGAGCGCGCCACCACAGCGCCGCGGGAAGAAGAAGCGGGCGGCGCCATCTTGGTTCGGGGCACGCGCGCTGCCGGCGGGCGGCTCCTCCGTGTGGGGGGGCGGGGAGAAGAATAGGGAGGGGAAAGAGGTGCCGAAGAGGGTTGGGGGTAACGAACCGCGTGGTTGAAACGGTTGTGGTGAGGTTTGTTGAAAGGCTGGGGGGGACATGACGACGTGGGAGTGAAGTCGCAGCCACCAGAAAAGCTCTGGCAGTGGGCAGCTTGGAAGGTACCGCTGGCTCCTGAAGCGGCGCGCAGCTGCGGCAATCAGGTGTGGCAGGGAGGCTGTAATGCTCGTCAGCAGCCTTCTCCAGCTCACCAGTTCCTACCTGTGGCATTAGGTGGAGATCTTTGGACTTCCCCTCGTTTTCTTCACAAGAAGGGAGGGATCCCGTGCCCTACTGCTGGAGCAGCACACTCCCCTGCTGCCTCTGTCTTGGTCATCTCCAGCCTTCACCCTCGCTTCTCACGTGTTACCAGCACAGAGATTGCACCTGCCTGCAGTATGTGGGGAAGTCCCTCAATGTGCACTATATTCCTTTGTATTGGTGCATTCACGTTAGCGCACATCAGAACTGTGCCAACAGCCACGTCTGAAGTTGGTTAGAGCAAGCCCAAGAAATGGGCCAAGAAATGCAGAATGAAGCCTCATGCTTGGTATTTTGCAAAGATCAACTGAGAGGCACGCATGGGAAAAAGGAAATGCTTTCTGACTATTGCAGCTCTGTCGCAACGGGAGTTTTCAGAGTGTTGACAGTTTCAAGACCAGTTTAAGCTATACAGTTTCATGTTGCTGAAGCTAATGTTTATCTACTGACTTACCACCTTAAAGAATAATTGAGATGAAAAAGACCTTCTCATAAACAGCAGGCCTAGGAACTTCATGTATTTCATTCCTTTCCCACTGTCACACCACAGAGGAGCAACTCTGTTGACAAGACTTCCTCCTTTCACAATAGCTAGACATGAATTTAGTGCATGAAAACGGAACAATAGCTGAACAGCTTCAGCTCAGCGGGAAGTGCCCAGGGCAGGAGGGTTGCAGAGGGGGGTTTGAACATGGCTGATTTTTTCCCCATTATCATATGAAGTTTGTTCTGTTACTCTTGCAACTGAAAGCATGAAAAGATAGCAGTATTTAAATCCATTTTCTGCATGCATTCTGTTACCCAGCTGTAGAGTTTACTATTAAAATTGATGGAGGATCAGACTGTGCTGGGTTTCCACTGAGAAGCCCTCTCAAGCTCTCCAGACAGCACTTCATATGCTTTTGTTCCATACAAACCTCTTGCAGTTATGCCAGTAAAGAGCAAAGGAAGGTAAGAAAAGAGTTCTCTGCCACCCAAAAAGAGTAAGACACCTGTCATTCTCCTAGAACTGATTGATTTATCCAGCTGTGTTAGCTCATCAGATAAAGTATATTAACAGTATCCAGGACCGATAAAAACATTGGTGTGTTTCATGTTTTGCCACATCAAAGCAATCATTTAAACCAGAAAGCCTCCCTCTAGGGTATCAGTTCCACTTAAACTGAAATATTCCCCCTTGTTATCACTGACTCCAAACAATGACAACTGAAGGGCTAGTGGGGTTTGGTGTGACATGCTCTATCACAGCCTAACGCATTATCGTAACCCCATAAACTATACTCCAGTACTTCTCTTTGGGATGGGTTATGGTTACTAACAGTAAGCAATCCTGTGTATTGCAAAAAAATGGGTCAGCCAAGCATCTGAAAAACTCAGCGTGTGCTGGCCTTCTGTGCCTGTAAGATAAATAATGCTTTTTGCTTCCTGTTTCAGTAATGAGAAGTTTAAGCCTTTTACTTGCTGCAATCAACACCCTAAGATACAGGAAATTTCAAAGACCTAATCATATTTCTGCTGTACCACATGCCAGTAAATTGACTTCTTTTTTTTTTTTTTCCCCTCCTGGGAATATGTTCCTATGGAACTTCAAGTAATATCTGACTTTTTAAGGTGCCACTACAAAACCAGGCTTGAAATCATGGTGATAGGCAGCTCATGTTTTCCCCATGTCTTAACTCTGCCTTTTGGAATTTTATGATTTTGGGAGAAACTTGATCTCTCTTCAAAAAATAGTTTTCAGTGGCAAACCTTGAAAAACTGAATGTTCAGGATATTTCAGTAAAATCAAGAGTGGAAAGGAAACCTCTAGAACATTTAGGATTGTCAGTGTCAGCCTCATCAGGGCAGCTCAGAGCCTGAACAGCTTTTATGCATATGAATCCTCTTCTGATTCATTCCTGAAATCCTCTTCCACTCTAAGCACAGGAGGAAACTATACAAAATATAAAAACTAGAGTTTGCAGTGTGTGGCTGCCTCACATCCTTTCTGTTCTCCTGTTACAGTACCTGGAAGATCTCTGCTCTTCTTTCCCAACACTTCTGCTTGCCTTGATAGTTCATGACCCCTCCTCATTCACCTCACTCTGCACAGAAACATCCTTTTCAGCCCTTTTGTTCTTTGAGGCCCCTGAACACACTTAAATAAGGCAATTTACTCCCAGTGCTTGAAAGTTCCTCTTTGCCAGTACTTGTTGTGACCTCTGAACAAGTGCTTCCTTTCGTATTTCATCCAAATGACCCTTACTAAAGCTCGCAATTGCTAAGACAAGGTGCCAAATAAAAGCTATACTCCTGTCCATCAGCTGCTCTGCTCTGTTCTTGAACCTTTGCTCTCCCTTCGTTTCTATGATCATCTTTATTGTATTCTGCTTTCTCTCCTGAAGTTTCCTTTGGTACATCCTTGTTGAGAATGTCTTAATTCTGCCACCAGAAGCCTCTCTCTGAGGGAGACTCTGGTACAAGCACATTCAGTTCCATCCTCCACCAACAGATTCAAGTAAAGAATAGACATCAATATCAGGCTCAGAAACTACAGAGCCAAACCTATTTCTTACAACCCCCTGCCAAATCCTGTCTCCCACTTTTGCTGGATTGAGGAACCTGAGGAAGCATGACTCTTGGTCACTCTGACTGATACAGCCTCTTTTCTCTTATGCTACTCGCTTTGCATCTACTGCATCTTGAAGCAACTTTTAAGGAAAGCTCTTTATGATGCTAATACTATTCTTGTTCTGCTTAAACTTTTTGTACAGTAGATGCAGATGTTGGGTTCTGTGGGGCCTCTTTCCCTCCCAACAAAGGAGCCTTTCTGCATCTTGCTAACCATAAAACAAAAGCATCGTGTGAAGGGAGGTTATACACAAAGCACACTGTAGCTACGCTCTCATCTTGTACCCAAACACAACTTGGGTCTGTGTTAACTAGCATTTATTTGCTTCTTCCAGGTTCCCCCTCCAGAAACGTATTTCTGTATTAGTCTCAGCACCCACGCTCTTCCCTTGCATTCCTGTTCCCAGGGCTTTTGTACATTCTAATTGCTCCTTGGTGCCTGTGGTGCAGCTGCTGTCTGGTGGCAATCCTGCACTTTGCAGCTGTGATAGAGGAAAGTGGAAAGAGCAGATACACTTGGAGTAACAGATTTTACCTAGGCTCATCTTTCGTTTTCTATCTGGGGCAAAATAACCCTTTAAGCATCAGTGATCTGATGTTTATCCTATTTCACTCTCATTTTAACTCTATGAACCTAGTGAATTCCAGTCTCTTCTTAGATTCTCTAAACCTTACAATACACAGCAGTCAGCAATAGGACTGCAATTACGCTGGCATAAGTGTGTGTCTGAATTTCCAGATCCAGAATTTCCAGAGAACTCCCTGGACTCTGGACAGAAACTGTTACAAATGGACCTACATATGTCTATTCACATAAATATCCTCCAAAGATTTGTCATGTTCTCATGCCTTCAGGTCTCCAGGGAATCTCCAAAAGATACTTCCAGCGTGATTTGAATTAAATAGTCCCAGGAGCACAGGAAATAAGAGTTGGCTTCTTGCCTGGATTTTCCAGTGCCGGATGTATTAGGGAGGACCAAGCAGAAGTGTCAACAGCAGCATTCACAGCACTTCACTCTGAGTCTTCTTATGCTCAGAAGCTGAGCCATCTTCACTGGACATGTACATTTGTAAGGTCTCTCCTCTGTCTAGTAGTGGAGTTTTGTTACAGCAAGCACATTAGCTCCAAGACCGTTACCTGTTTATCAGGTTAGATCAGAGTTCAAAAGTAACTCGAGATCAGCGCAAAGACATTGGCTTTCTTTCCCTTGGAAGATAGGCTAAAAGTAAAGAAAAAAGTCATGTCTTTCCTCTAAATGGCTGCTTTCATGGAAGAGGGGTGATGGGAATAGAGAGAAACCAAAGCCAGAGTGCTGGAAGAAATTGCCCTCTACTTATGCACAGCATTGTCTGCCCTGGCAATTCTCTCCAGTGTATTGCTCTGGGGAATTTCTAACTAGGTTTTGCAGCTGTCTGCATATTATTTTATTTTAATTAACTGAGGGTCTCATTCATAAGACATAA